GCCGGGACGCGCTGTCGCCGCCGCCGCTGCCGACCAGCGCGCCCTTCAGCCCCCGCCCCCGGGGCTCGGGAGAGCAGGTAACTGCGCTGGCCGCGGGGCCTGGAGGCCTGTGGGCCGGACTCCGCGGACTCTGCACCCTCCTAGGCTCTCGGGGTCGGGACGCGCCAGGGGCCCAGCCGCCCAGGCGAGGCGCACCGGCGCCAACAGGAAGGCCCGGGGAGCTGCTGGGAGCGTCGCGGGGACTCCGAGTTTTCGGGTTGTTTTGTCGTGCTCCCGGCGGGCGAGGGGAGCAGGGGATTGGAAGTGGCGAGCGGGAACGCGGATTTCGGGGAGAGGGGCGAGCGGAGGACTGTCTGCGCTCCTTCCTGCGCTGGGAACCGAGGGCAGCCGCGGGGAGGGGGCGCCGAGTCGGAATGTCGGGCGGCCAGGCCAGCCGAGAGCGGGAAGTGGGGGGCGGGGGGAGGCAGGGGGGTGGGACCAGGCACCCTGCCCCCTCCCCAACCGCGCATTCCAGGCTGGAACGGATGAGGTCATCCCGTCCGGTTCCCCTCCGGCCAAGGCAGCCACTGCCCCTTCCCCCGCGGAGCGACCCTCCGCGTTCTGGCCTCCCTGTCCCTAGAGAGGATGTTTTATGGCCAAAGTTTTCTCTTGCACTTCCAGTCCCGGCTGCCTTCCAGATTGTTCTCTCCTTGCCTCAACCATTCAAAACCGCGAAGTTTGAAGCCCATTTTCTTGACCGGGAAACCGAGGCTCAGAGAGGCGACTGGCCAGGACCGCGGTACCGGCCGCGCCCCGCCGCGCCTCGCCTGGTCAGTTGGGCTCTAACTTGGGGCAGTAGAGCGAGAAGCTCGTCTTCCCACCCTAACGGTGGCAGAGGCACCTCTCATACCCCTCTGTCTCTAGATTGCCCTTTCTGGCCGGTTCCCCTTCTTTCCATCTTGAAGTGGCTGGACTTTGAAGGACAGCAGACAGCCCCTGGGGAGCTGACCCCCGTCCCAGAGCGGCCAGGGCTGCACAGATTTGGGGAAGCTGCCCTCACTGAGACAGGGGCCGGCTGTCTCCGGGTGGTGGGTTACCCAGCTGGACACTGTGGCCGGGTACTGTGCGCATTAAGCAGTGGCTTCTAGGATGAAAAGCCCAAGGTTCACCGCTGTGGCATGGTGACCTGCCATGTCTCCGGGTAGAGGCGGGGGGGGGCCGTCTCCGGGTAGAGGCGGGGGAGCCCACAGAGGCCCCCTAGCTACCCCCAGACCACTTGCCCCCCTTCAGCAGCCCATTGGCCTCCCCTGATGTGTGGTTCTTGCCCTTGACCCCAAATCTCGCCCTTGACCCCAAATCTCGTCCTTGCCCTTGAAGGAGCCCTGACTGTCCCCTCTGAGGACAGGCCTGCCCAGCCCATGCCCTAGCAGGGCTCCCAAGTCCTGCACCAACTCTCTGGGTTCCCAGGGGTCCTAGCCAGCCCTGGGCGTCTTCTGTTGTCATTGGAATCGCGGGCAGGTTGCAGGCACGTGCTTTCTTGGCCTGTGACCTAAGGTGACCCAGCCCTCTGGTGCTTTCCATCTGTAAAGTGGGACTTGTGTGCTTCAGCAGGTAGATTCCTGGGCTGCTCCAGCGCCGGGCGGGCACACCTGGTGACCAGCCGTATTCCCGTGAGTGCCAGACAGCTGCCCCCAAGGGTCCATGGAGAGGCGTGTGTGATGGGGTTGGGTCTGTTCCAGCCCAGGGCTGCCCTGCTCCAGCTTCACCCACCCCTGCAGCTCCCTGAGAGGGGACCTACCAGGAAGCAGTTCCCGGTTTGCACGTGGGAAGACAGGTCCCAACCGCAGAGCTCTGCCCCCAGCGCCTCCACGGGGCATGGTCTCTCCCTGCAGTAGGTAGAGTGCAGGGGTGGGGCCACGATTTGGTGGTGCCCAGGGGCATTTGGACAGTGAGGTCACCACAAGATTTGAGGGGGGCTAGTCTCCAGAGCCAAAGAGGCTGTAGGGTTGGGAGAAGGGGGCTGCCTGGAGAAGTTAGGGAGTCAAGGTGGGGGTAAAATGGGTGTGGCCACATGGCATTTCAGAGTGCCGCCCACCCGCTCCTTCCTGCAGGTTCAACTCTACTCTCTGCTGAGCAGGGAAGCCTGGCCCTGCCGTGCACCTGCCACAACGTGACCCTGGACAAGTCCCGTCTCTCTGAACCTCAGGTGTCCCCTTGAGACAGGCTCCCCCCTAGCTTTGCGGGGTGTCAGAGGCTCAGATGGCCTCATGTCATGGCTGGCCAACTGCAGAGCGCTTGGTGACCTCAGCAAACATTCCACGAGGACTCCTGGTGCTGGGGGTGCCAGGGCAAGGGATGATTCAGAAGCCCCCCCCAGGGGGAGGGGCTAGGGCTGGGGGAGGGGCAGATGGTGGGAAGGGAAGAGAATGTGGTCAGAAAACAAAGCCAGCTTTGTGCCATTGCCTCCTTTGTTTTTATCTTGTTATTTAACCTATTTTGAATTTCAAATAACATTAGAAGGGCAGTACTGAGGTTTTCACGCTTGAAGGTGGAAGAAAAAAGGTTAGACTCAAATAGAGGTGTGTTCTTGTTAAAGATTAGAATCAGCTTTTTATCAGCGGAGGTCCCTGGCCGCGAGGTAAGTGACTTGCCCAAGGACACACTGTGAGGTCACTGAGTCCCCAGCCTAAGCCACCACTCAGCGCCTGGCAGGCAGGGTGGCCCGCTCAGCCTGGCCTCCATTTGAGAGCCCAGGCTGGGTGCTGGGAGGGAGAAGCAGGAAACCAGGCAGTGCCCCACCCTCAAGCGCACTGCCAACCCGAGAGACAGGACTGGGCCCCACAAGCCAGTCAAGGACCCAGGTGAGTCAGAGGCGCTGAGTTCAAGTCTCGACTGGCGCTGGCAGTGTGACCCTGAGCAAAGCCGGCCCTCTCGGGGCCACAGGGAAACGACAGGTCAGCCCATTAGCTCCTCAGTGCCTTCTCACCTGGACTTCGTGTGACACTTAACAGAAGGGAAGAGATGCCAAGAGATGCCTCGAGCAGGTTGGGGCCGGGGGTGTGGACGGAGATCAGGGAGGGGAGAGTGAGCAAGCGCTCTTGGCAGCGGACGAGCCTTTTCTAAAGCCGATTACCTGACGAGGCTCCTCCATCAGTTTGGTACAGTCCTTTCCTGCGGGCCTTCTCAGAGCCTTGAATATGCTCGGGCATGCAGGAGGCAGCTAGAAAAAGCTTTTTGGAGCCAGCCAGGTGGCGTGGTGGTTAAGGCGGCTGGATTCCACATGGTTAAGTACATGGTTCAAGTCCCAGACCTGGCAGCTTGGAAAATAGGCCAGGTGTATGTGCATGTGTGCCCAGAGTCCCGAGGGGAGAGTGGAAGAGAAGGGGTTGCCATGTGGCCAGCCTTCGGAGGGTGATCTCCCACTTCCCCTCTCTTTCTCTCTGTCTCACGAGCACATGTGTCCTATGGCAAACAGAAAAGAAAGAATTGACTGCAGGTCCTTTGTCCAGAAGCCCCGTGAAGGCAGAGGGGTCTGAAGGACCTCTACACCGGCTGTACACGGCAGTTCACGGGGCCTTGGTGAGGCTCACTGGTCCTGCCATCTCCGGGTAGAAGAGAGTTTAACGCACACAGAGGGGAGATGACACACAGCAGGTGTCAGCGTAGCCTGGAGCTCCGGCCCCGGAGCCCCACCAGGTCCTTCTGTGTAGCCTCAGGCGAGGCTTCGTTGTGCCTCAGTTTCCTCTCACGGTGCCTCCCGCCGGGCTGTCGTGTTGTTAGATGATGGAGCCCGCAAGGCGCTGGCACTGGCCGAGGGCTTCAGGAGCTGGGGGACGGCCCTCTGCTCTCTGCAGACCCTCGCTTTGTGCATGCACCGTGCGGTCGGCCCGCTCAGTAGCAGCTCAGAGGCGACCACGATTCTCATTCTCATCGCCATCCTTTAGTTCTCCCTGAGAGTGGACCGCCTGTGCCTGCACTCCCTGTGTGTCCCCGTGTGCACCTGGCTTCCGCAGCCTGTGGCGCGGCCTCCGTCTGTCCGTGTGGTTGGGTGGAACGCCCTTTTCTCTCGCTGAGACTGGCCCAGGACTTGCCTGCATCACCCTTCTCTGTCCTTCCTCCAGGTCTCTGCCCTGGGCAGGATCAGCCTTGGGTGCAGTCTCGCACCTTCTCTGCTCTGGACTGAAAGCGCCCAGCTGCTCCCACAGGGCTGGGAGCCAGGCCTCAGGGAGATGCCATGGGCCCCCCACAGCTGCGGCGTGCAGCACCATAGGAAAGCTACAGTGGCCTTGTCCACCGCCTGCTGCCTGGAAGGAAGGAGCTGAGAAGAGGGCCCGGTGGGCATGGACCAGCTGCCGTCCATGCACGTGGGCCGCGGCGGGGATGTCTTTGGCGACACCTCCTTCCTCAGCAACCATGGCGGCAGCTCGGGGGACACACATCGCTCTCCCCGCAACTTCCTGGCCAAGAAGCTACAGCTGATGCGGAGGGTGGGGGTGCCGCCCCCGGGGGTGGGCTGCCCCACGC